TTCGCAGACCTGACGAACTGCGCTGTCATGTAGGCCCCATTCATTGACAGCGGGTCATAGGCCAAGCTTATCAGCCAGTCCTTTGACGAATGATGGGAGGCATCAGTGACCATGCACAGCTGCTTGCTCCCTAGAAAGCAGAGACGAGCTTCCTCGTGGTACATGCTCAGCAGTTTGCAGATCCAAAGATCCACACTCCCTTGCCTGACACCACCTTGCCGATCCCGCCGGCGGATTATGGCCAGCTTTCTCATGGAGACATTGGCTTCCCGGGCATCTTCTAGGAACTGCCAAACCTCATGCACAGACATTTTGACTCGGGAAACTGCTTGCCCATCATCGCCCCCTTTCCTGAGAAGCACATACAGCAAAAGCAACTTACGGCAAATACAAAAAAATCATTGACAATTGACAAAAGCCAAGCAGCCTCCGCCTTCGGACAATTCGGCGAGATGGCACTTGACCCTGATATACATTGTGCGCACGCATGTGTTCCGTCAGAGCTGCAGCCATGTTTCCATGAAGAAAACCAAGAATGGCTAATTGGACTTGCTTCAACGTGGATAAGGTTTTCCCTGTCCAAGCTGACTTGTTTTTTCTGCGACGGAATTTGACAACAGTGAGGGCAAAGAAGATCAAGTCCAAAAGAGGGACCTCCTCCCCCCAAGCCATAGTCAACTCACCCTCCTCCACCATGCTAGTCCACATGTGTTGCCAGGAAGTGGCAACTGACCGATGAATGGAAATGAGAAAAGCTACTAAGCCACGAACTGCCCCACTGGCAATCACTGTTAGGAACTCCCCGTTCTGCATTGTGATCGTGATGCCAGCAGATCCAGCTGCGTAAATAAGTGCAAGACTTTGCATCGCTAATCTTTTGTGATTTTCCCCCAGGCCCAAGCAAACTTGGAATGCATCACGGCTCTGTCCACAATATCCTTCAAGAAAAAGAGGAGAAGCAGGGTAGACGCACAGTTCACATTGGCCATAGCCGACCTGGCGCCAAGTCAAAGTTGGAGAACTTGCTTGAATGAATGCATCCTGAGACTGCAATTTGCACAGCGACCCAGCCCGCCTACAGTCACTTCCACGGCAATGAAGATCCATTCTTGATAAAGAGCTTTCATTGTTGCACATCTCCTGCATCCTGTGCAAATGTTTGGTGCCCTTCTCAGTGTCCCCTGCAGCGGCGAGCTCATCGAAGACATACGCCACATCCCAAAAGAAAGTCCCTTCTGAAGCATGCCGGTAGCCCACAGGGCTCAAAGCAGCTTCGAAGCCTTCAAACGTAAGAACTTCCACATCAGACGGTAGATGTTGAAAGCTGTCAGGCACTTCTGCATCAGCCATAGCCAAAAGACAAAGAGTTCAGCGCAATTACCAACAATAGTAATTGAAAATGCAACAATGACTAGAAGAAACCCATCGATAAAAAGCTGCAAGTACTGACAGCGATCAGCGCTGTAACAATCACCAACGCACCCACTAACAGGTAAGCCTCAAAGCAAGAATCAACAGGGCAACCGGGCAACCGATTGACAACATGAAATTGCAAGTGACTGAGATCTGCAAGCAAATGTACAAGCAGCAGTTACAAATGATGCCTTTTTCTCCCGGCGTGTTGCGTAGTTCACCCCAAACCGCCTGACATACAGGCTCAATGTCAGACACTACCTGTGTCCAGCTACTGCTTCAGCCAGATCCTGCAGCAAACCCAGCCATCTCTAGAGCAACGTTGCCAGCAACACACATATGTATATACACCTCTTTTTAAAGTTCATTTAAAACATGCTTCGTATATTAACCTGCACTGTCGGCTAAAGAGATGGTTCCGTTTCCAGTGTAGCAGAACTACTGTTCAAAACTTCTGCGCTCATTCAGCAGACAAATGACAAAGGCCTTCAAATAAGGCTTGGAGATGCCTCCTCCACAGCATCAGCCGGCTCAGGATGTGGATTGACAGGAGCAGCTGCGGCAAGATGGCATCTCAAAGGGCAAGGCATATCCACTCCAACGGCCAATCCTGTTGCAGCTGCCCAGCGCGTGCAGCATTCCAAGTGGTAGCTGTGCCC